CCACAATACATTTATTGTTAATTCTCTAATTAGTTAGGAATGTAAGTTTGTTGGATAGCGAAACAACTGTGCATAGCGTCTGACAGGTTAGCTTTTAAAATAAGATTTGTGTTTGTGTTTCAATGGTCAGTGGCAAGGAAGACACTCCTAAAATGGATTAAAAAAAAATCAATTAATAAATACACTCAAAATTCATGTACAGAATTATGTGATTTGCTTGCACATTCTCTTCAGCCTACTGTATCTTCTAATAACATCTTTCTGAATCAGATTCATTGTACTAAGTTTATCTCTCCCTGGATAGCAGATTTTTAATATGCTGTAACTATCTTTTAAGATGCATTTTGACATAAGCTGTGTAAAGATCATGTCTCATATTTTGTGCAGCAATTTATTTTGTTCATTTTTTTTCCTTTTGGTAGCCTCTTCTTGCTATTTTCAGTTCTTGTAACATACGTGCTTTAGAAAGAACACATCCACATTTTAGTGGTTAATCAAAGGGAACTAACCAAAACAATCACTTTCTAGTACTTCAAAATATTCTAATTTTTTAATGGAGAATATGCATTCTTAAATTAAATATGCATAATAAGTAATAAGTAGTAATAAGAATAAAGTGGGCTCTGGAAGAATGAATGTTATGTTTTAAGCAAAATGCATTTGATTTGCTGGGTTCAAAACTGCTTTGAATCAGTAAGAACCTGTGCAAAAAATGGGGTGAGGAGGATTGAGCGCCTCATAATGCTTATAAATTGTCCATAATTGTATGGATTTTAAATATGAAAGTTGGCAGTGGCAAAAGCTAAAAGCCATTAGGAGAGATCCTATTGTGCAATGCATCAGTAATTGTAACTCATAATCTTAGAGGGAAAAAAAACTAACTAGAGTTTTCTAAAATTTTGATAACTGTACTTGAGTCTTGTCTTGATGTTTACTACAATGATGGCATTGTTCAAAATGACATAGCCTAATGCATATATGAATCCTGCTTGAAAAGAGCTACTAATTAACATGAATAGTCTTCTTCTCTGAAGGTCATTTATTGCAAAGTTCATTTTTCAGCCGAGCATTGCTAAAGTAGTCACCCCCGCTAACAGCCATTAGATTAAGAGACTTAGGTCTGTTCTCTTCGTGACACTGGGTCAGGATTTTCAAAGAAAGAGGCTCTTCGATGCCAAGAAGCCCTTAAAAATAATATTTGAACAGAAAAAGAATGGATGTAATTACATTGTAAATATTTCTGTGGTTATTGAATTAATAAAGATAATTCTATTCATTTTATTAAAAAACCACACACGCACACACAAACACACACACGCACATAAGTTTTCCCTGTCTGATGTTCCAGTGCAGCTCTTCCCCATGGGATTTTTGATTTCTTCAGTCATAATGACTCATTAAAACCCAGAGACACTGAATATTTAGCATTGGATGTATGAGCATGTTCACCTACTGTCAAAAACGAGGCACATGAAGCCCCAGGTGCCTCTACTTCCCCTTCAGAGGCTGAAGGAACACTTTCTGTGCTCACATGCACATCAGCCACTGGTGGCTGTCCAGTGAGGAGAGGACTCAGAAGATGAAGAGCACCACTGCAGAAGGTGCCGAGCAATCCTACCACCTCATGGAGAAGGGCATGTCCTGGTGTTACTGCTTTGGGCCATTGAGGGAGCCCATTTAAATGGTTGCCTTAGGGTGAGGGTCAAAGTGCTCAGCACCACATGTGACTGAATGTATAATTTTCATTTGTTCTGTCTCCCTGAATTCAGTAGTCCTCTGCATTAAAGGATCTGGGCATCCACATAAAGCCCGAGAGCAAATTTAATCTATTTCTTGTCTGCTTTCAGCTTGTTGCACTTCATGTTTTTCTCTAAGTGCCACTATCTGAGTGCAAAGTCAGTGGGACAGAGACTGTATCTTGCTGGGTGACCCTAGAGCAACAGAGACACAGTCATGACTGGAGGGTGAGTGATGCCCAACAGCTTTATTGCAGTTACAGAGTAATGCAGAGAAGGAGACATATTTCTTTGCTGGAACAGTGAACATTTGGTACAAATAATTCAGAACTGGGGTTTTCCTGGCCCCCATGCTAAGACCAATATTTAACTTACCATCCATAACAAACTGCCATTTCACCGGGACTTTAATGTTGCTATCGGAACTGTGAATATCTATTTCTGAAACAGAGAGCCTCTTAAATACCACTGTCAATACCAAACAATACTTGCTTGGATACAGGTTTAGAAACTGCAGTGACAGCTACAGTCGATCCCACTAGGTGGGATGTTTCTGTGGGTACATGGTGACAAAGGGGTTCAGGATCCTTGCTGTGGCTGGAAAAAGTTGTTCACCCAAGTCAGTTAGTTATGAACAGGCATGGGGTCTTTTGGGTTGGGGTGTCACATTAAATGCATTGCTCTTCTGCATCTTGCTGGGTTCAGAAGCAAGTGAGTCTTGGTACACCACTGAAGCTCTGGAGAGCCACTTGACTTCCCTTTGAGCAGGCCAAGGCTGGGATCTTTGCTAGATAATTGGAACCTAAGTCATTCCTGAACTCATCCCTGGTTTGGGGTTACTTTTGTTGGTAAACATAAGGTTCTGCAACCCAGAAGGGCTGTGAGTAGGGAGAAGGATTAGGATCTCTTAAGAATAGTCAAGAAACCCTGGAATTTCTTTGTGATAACTATTTTGGATCATGAAGCACCTCTCTGAATGCTGTCTTGCAGGGAAGCCAGCTGAGGCTATAAGAGCAGCAGGGAAATCCCACAGACCTCAAGGCATTCGTAAAAATGTTGTGCCTTGGCCCTTGGGATTTGTGTCCCGCCTCCCCTGGCCATGCCACTCTCCCTAGAGTCAGGCTTCCCTGGTCTCCTGGTGGCTACAACCAGTCTCAAAGCTGCAAGCAAGAGAAAGCCCCTCCAAGTCTGAAGGACAAGCATGTGGAGGGAGCATCAATGTACCTCTGCCCCTTCCTTTTCTCCCTGTCCCCAGGTCTGGGGCAGGAATGTTGCAGATGTGACAGAGGGGAGCAGGAGACTTGTGATGTTGCTCAACTGCTTCTCCCTGCCAGCTTCCACGGGGTTTTTGCTCCTCTCCACTTGCGTTAGCAGAGGGGAGCATATGGACCTTGGAGATTTAATGTTTCATGGCTTACTTGGCTGTCAAAATGTTTTACATTATTATTTGTTGCAACATTCACGGTGATCATCTTTAAGGAAAAAAAAAACTGTACGGCAGGTCCCTAGATGCCCTTGCTGGGAGCAGATGTCGGAGCAAGAGCATTGTTAAGCCTCTCTTGGATTTTTCATTTCCCACCCTTTGTACAGTCTAAATGAAGCAGCACAGCACACACACAACCTCTCTTACTGCCCGGCGGGACTTACCGAGGTGGTTTAGGAAGGTGGGAGGTTGAGACAGGGAAACTTGCAGATTTATAGGGCACAGAGACGGATTCATAATCTGTATTGATGGCATCATCCCCAACCATGTGACAGCCAAAGCAGATAAGCCTATGACTGAAGTGAAAAGATTTCTTAAAGCTGGTAATCGATATTGAGCAGCTCAGCCTGTTGGGCTATCAGGTTCGGAGATCTCCACGTGCGCAGGGTGGGCGTGAAGGGGAGCTGGAGGCGGGGGGGGGGGAGGGCTGACCCCAAGGGTCTGTGAAACAGGGCAGTGCAAAGCAGCAGCCTGGCACGGAGCCGTGTGTTACAAGCACCTAGTACTGCAGTGGGTGATTGCAGCAGAGGAGGGACTCTGTAAAAGCCACAGGACAGCTTTGTTTTATCGGGGGGAAAAACCAGTAACAAAGAGCTAATGTGTAAGGAACCTAAGTATCAATAACTTGAGAGCTAGAAATTTTGTTAAGGATGAAGCCTTCAAAGAGTGCTGAATACTGTCCCTTCAGTGTCTCAGGCTCAATCTTCAAGATCTCTGTCTCATGCTGATAGTTTCCATAGTTCCTTGTTCAAGATCTGTATCCAATTACAAGTATCTTGAGATACCTGAGTTATGAAAGCAGAACCTCCTGTCGTCTGAACCCTGATGGACTTCCTAAAGGAGGCATTCCTCCATTGATGGACTTCCCTCCAGGTGTTCCTCCACTGCTTCTGTTGAATGAACAAAAATAAATGAACAAAATACCATAACTTTTTGTAAAGACATGAAGACTTTCTGAGAAGCTACTATTCAAGCCACCACTGTCAGATATGCCTAATAAAAAGTCTGCCCTCCACCAGAAGGTCTGGGGCAAAGCTCACCTCAGAAGTCACTGCCTGCCTGCCTTCTTGCCACCTTCTTGGATGAGAAGGGAGCTGGTGCCTGCCAAGGGAAGTCACATTTGGATAGTACCTTCTCTGAAACAACATTCCCACAAAAGTGAAAGAAGTTCTCTCCAGAAAATCAAGCACTGTACTTTGTTTCCACTAAGTGAATGGATGCCATGAAACCTGGGCTGGTTAGATTAGCACACAAAGATGAAGGGAGAAACCAAGCCTTTCTATTTTTCTGTATTTATTGGGCGAGACAGCTGGGGTTCAAACACATTCTGTATTATGAAGCACCTATTAATATCATCTCCTGATGGAGAACAGGGTATTTTTTCCTTCTTAAATGTTTAATTAGTAGGCATTGTGTTGTGTCTTCACTTCAATAAATTCCAGTTGAGAAAGATTTTGGGTGCACATGTGAATGAACGCTTGTCTTGAAAGACAGAGCAAAAAGAAATTGATAATCATGTTTCCCTTGTTGTATTTACTGTTTTGCTTCTAAAGGGAATATTACTCCACTAAGAGATTCATAATTAGGAGGATGCCAGATGGGTTATCAATGTGGTTTTAAATTTTTATACGTAGAGTGCTTGTTTTTTCAGGGGATGCTTTGGTTCCACATACAGTATTTAAATATAAATGTCGTCTATGAGGGGACTGCTAACTATTCCATGATTTTGAATTTGCTGTTTATTTAATGCTTTTTATTTTTTCCTTTCTTTTTCTTGAAAGCTGGTCTGGTGGGATAGATGAAGAGAACGGACCTACCAGATGGAGGAGCAGAGCTTGAAAGCAGAACAGAGATGGAGGAATAAAACTTGAAAGCAGAACCAAGATCCATATCACCACCCTAAAAAAAACTACTTTAAAAAACAAGTGAAGAAAAAAAAAATCGTGACCTTGGACTCTTCCAAAATGCCAAGAGGCATTTCTTTGGGGTTGAGCACCTTAGAGGCATCTGTGTGCTTTTTGTCGTCATCACCAGGGCAGCGTGGCGTGTGGACAAGCCAACTGGTTGGTGCATCTCAGTTGAGATGGTGATATGACAAGGCCATGGACAGGACTGACTGCCAGAATTACTGTCACAAGGAAATCTTGTGCCTCCTTGGAAAGCAAGGACTCAAAATCAGAGGTGTTTGGCTTTCTATAGAACTTCAAGAAGCTCTCCCCCAGTCAGTGGCAAGTTGGTACTCATGCAGCTGGACACGTACCCCTAGACGCAGGGGTGTATGCACACACAAGCACGTGTGCACTTCACTATTTTGCTCAGTGTATTTTGACCTTCAGCACCAAAGTAGGACTCACTTCTGACTACAGGATTTATGTCAAAGCTGGTATATCTTCATCACTCACCAGGGCTTTTCATTAGACAAAGGGGCTGTGTCACCTTTACTCTCTTTTCTTCTGAGTCTCCTTTCTATCATGAGCTTTTAGAGCTGCGATAAACAGGAGTGAGCCATACACAGCATAATGATAACCCAGATGACAGTGTCAAATCTACATTCACTCCATGTGCAAGTGTTACTGAAGGAGAAGACACCAGGGAAGGGTGAGCAGAAGTGGCAAAAACAAAAGGGCAACTGCAATGGAAATGGGATGAGGCTTACCCAAATTCTGTTAAAGTAATAAACCACTTTATGAAAAATATACATCAGATTAGAGAGATGCCTGAGACACAATCCTAGACTTATTTAAAAAACAAACAAACAAACAAAAAATTTATGGAAGTCAACTCATCACCTCTGAATGCTATTTTCAATGGCAAACCTCCCTGCAATGACATTTCTTGGTCTAGAGTCACAGTCTTGCAGACCCAAAGTCTGGAGCAAGGACCTGTTTGCCAAGAAAGAGGCCAGAGACAAGTCTGCTTGCTGAAAACAGGAACGCAAAAAAATAATAAAGACTTTAAATTCAACAGCAGGTCATGAAATAATACATTTTCAAGGGAAAAGAAATCACTGTCATATGTAAAAATGTACTTCATAAAAGGAGACGAGGATGTGCCTTTGGCAGTTTAGATGGGCCTGCACCTGGAAGACTTTCTGGGATATTGGTCTGTCCTTTCTTGAAAGACACTGAGAAATGAAAGGGGATCAAGAAAAGACAACTGCTATACAAGGAAAGGACGAGCACTGTGGGCCCCCAAAGCCAGAGACCTTGTGGGTTTTGAGAAGTACCTCACATTGTAGCTTGGGACAGAGCCCCTGTGAGGGTCATAGTAAGGAGCTACTGCATGTGCCTCACACTTGAGGAAAGAGGGAGAACAGGACCCAGCTTGCAAAGGTACTAGGCAAAACCGATGGCTCTGGGTCCTTAATACAATAAAAATCCAGGCTTAAGGGAGCAGACAAAATTTGCAAATTAAACCTGTGACAGAATAGAAAACTGTAGTCTGGTATCCTTAACTACTGAAATACCCTTTCCATGTGTCTCTCTATATAATTTACATAATAACAGGTGCTATTCAAATGAAATGAGGGGAAAGAAAAAAAAAGACAAACACAAGAAATTATATAAATGGCTGTATGGCTGTGGAAAAGACCCAAAGGACCTGTACAGACAGTTGTGAGACACTGACTTGAAGAAGGACAAGACAGTATTTCCTGTAAACATATTGTACGGCTGTAAAAACAAGCAGGAAAATGTTGGGTTATCAAGAGAAAACCCCAACGCTTAATGATGGGGACAGTTAGGAAAGTGTCACATGAGATCATTAGGTCATCCTCATTAGAGAAGTTTAAAATTACTTTTGCTAAAGTTCAAGAGAGTTATGTGGAGGAAGCTCTTGTGTGTTTTAGAGACTAGACCAAGAGGGGCATCTATGGTTTTGTGTGAACAAAGACAAAATGTCATGTGAGATATTAATTGGACCTTTATTTAGCTGAAATTCAAGACCTGCAGATGATGGCTCTGTGACTTGTCACCAACAGTCTGGCCTGCAGTCCTCAAGTTTACTCTAATGCTCTCCATTTTATTCACATAACAGAGATTTTCTTCCTTTCTTCTTTCCTTCTCACAGAGTAACTCTGCCTTTGAAGCATTCAGTACTGGAGGGTTCATTCTTCTGGTTGAAGGCTTGTGTCCTTTCCTTATTAAAGGGTAACTCTTCAGAGGCAGAGGAGGATGGACACGGTGATGAGGTCCTCTCTCAGATTGAAGACAGACTAGGAAAGCTTTTCTGGCCCTTTAATCTCAGCGTACTTTAAAATATGTACCTGGTCTTTCTTCGAAGAACAATTCCATCACTGTCTGCTCTAGCTCTTCCACAGCTCTGTACATCTGCAGATTACAAAGAGCACATCCATCCCTCTAACCTGGTATGCCAGTGGCAAAACTTCACTGCACAATGTTAATTCATTCCTCTGTTTTTGGCTTTCCTCCCACAGAGCCTCTGGGGGCATCCTTCCCCAAGACAGGGAGAACAAGGACAGGAGACACCCAGGGAGAAGGCTGGCATGACCTTGATTTTGCAGCAGCACAGGCATGAGAATTTCCATGGTGGAGTTTGAAATACCTCTTGGTTTGCATAGCGGAGATAAATTGCACTAAATAGAATGGGGAACATGACGGTAATTAACAGAAATGAAAAGATTTAGCTGTCCAAGTTGAAAGAGGTAGCTGGCCAGCAAAGGAATGGCTGTATGTCTGTTTGGAGGGTCGTGTATCTCAGACACGCTCTGTAGTTGGTCTGCTGCCTTTTCAGTAAAGTCACATTTGTCCTCCCACTGGGTCTGGCAGGAGCACCAAAGGCAGAAGCTTCTCAGACTTTCACTACCCAAATTTTATAGGAAGACGTAGTGAACACTACCTAGTCATATCATACTATAGGGACAGCCTAGGCTTAGAGACAGTTTTGCAAAAAAAAAAAAAAAGTATATATATAGTGTGTATATATATATATATATGAACTTGAATCTCTCGTGTCTTCTGGATGTGGATAAGAGGGAGAAAACTGGTGACACCTAAACTCCCCAAACTACTTGACCATGTAGCTACAGCTACAGCTTCCTGGGCTCCTCTTTCCAACTGCAGCAGCATCAGTAATCTTTTGCTAATATATATGGGTATAAAAGTTTTTGAGAGATCCCAGAACAGAAAGACTCTTACCTGTATCTTTGTTTTCCTTCCTGTGTTAATAATAGCCACTATATTCCCAATAAAAATATTCAGAGTACTGTGTTACGTCTGTTTCTTAAATTGTGATCATTATGTGACTAATCATAATAATAATATGATATTAGTGGGAAAAATGTTAGAAGATATTCCCTAGAGGGAAATGAATTTCTTTTTATCATCTACAGTAGTTTATTTCACATATTCATGACCCTCCTGGTATTCTTTTTTTTTTCTTTTCTTTTTTTTTTTTTTATGATGAGCCATAAAAATGACAAAATACATTAGCAAAGTTCTCGGTTTATGCTAAAATGACCATATTCAAAAATAATAACAGAGACTTGTATCAGCAATGCAAAAGATGCATGAAGTAATTGGTGCTTAATTTGTACACAAACTGTCAAGGCAGTTTTCCTCACGGCCTGCATCTTCTGAATTCATTAGTCTCTAATTAAGGCCAGTTGGGACCAGCAGTTAGAAGGTTAAAGAGGTTCTGACAGCCCTAATCATTGCTCAGGAAGCTGAAAATGTATGCAAAGTCTCGGCAGATGGGGTGAGATCTGCTTCTGCCAAGTGATAACTGTTATTCCTTTGCACCTCCAAAGCTGTCATCCTAATAGGCACATTTTAAATTTATTAATGCTCTAGTTACAATGCATACACAGTCTCTAATGGTATGTCATTCAGAGTATATAAACTGAGCAATTAACACATATTACCTGGTAATGGTAAAATTATTTGTTGCCTGTTTGATTTTTTTTTTTTTTAGTTTCCTAATCCAGCAAGAATAGTCATAAGCAAAGAGTTTTCTTTGTTAAAAAGGGGGGATTCTGAGCTGCTTGTTTGTTTGTTGACCATTAATTCTTTGTTTCTACAGACAAAAAGCTCACAAGCCATAGCTAACTTTTCTTTAATTTCCAGTTCCTCAGTGATTCAGGTTTTGGAGTTTATGTTTTGTAAACCCGGAATTTTAAAATGCATGTTTCATCCAAATAAAATTTGGATGAAAATAGATCACAAAGGCAGTCTATATTTTTTCTTCTACATTTAGTTTTGTGTTCTGTTCCTATTTTTTTTAATTATTCAGAAAATTGATGTTCTCCCCCCACCTTACTATTTCAATGAGATGTCCATATTTTGTTCCCCAGCATGGTGGTATCTCTCTCCTTAATCCTATTTGGTTTAAAGTTGCCTAATCAAGAGAAAGGCATGTTTTTAGGTCTCTCCACCCATCTTAAGGCTTCAGCCATGGGAGGCCTTTAATTGCATGTAGCACTCATGCAACCATTGTCTGCAATGCGGAAGCTTAAAGAAGAGTGTCCCTTGCAAGGAGCAGAGCAGCCAGGAGAGCGTCAGCTACTGTACGAGCAGAGGAGTCACAAACAGTACTAATAATGTGATAAGATGTTAACGTAAGCAACAGAACAATTATGTACCCGGTGACTTATAGACAGGCCAGGAACCCATTCCTCTGTTTGAATTAATTGATTTTGCTCTGTGTAATGAGCATAGCACAAGTAGGGAAAGGTGGTTGTATAAATGAACTGTTGGGTCTGACTCTACCCTCACCAGCCTGAGTCATGAGAGACTCCAGAGACGTCAGAGGGTTTCCAGATGTACAATATCAGCAAGAGATACAGACATGGGCTAGCTTTTTCCCTCTGGGATTTCTCCAGGTCACATTTCAGACCATAGCACCTGACAGCAAATCACAGAATCACAGCCATAGAATGGCTGAGGTGGGATGGGACCTCTGGGGGTTGTTTGGTCCAAACCCCTTGCTCATGCAGGGCCAAAGTCATCAGAGAGGAGACCTGAAATGCCCCTGTCAGCCAGCAAGTCTTCTACTGCGGGTTTTTGACAGTCTGGTAGTCCTGCTGAAGTTAAGGAGACTTTTCCTGAGAGCTGTGTGCCCAGGCCCTGTGTTAGCCAACAGGACTCCCCTGATGGATGCCACTCTTTGTGTCACTAAATGTGACCCAGACATGGGGAACTGCTGCAGAGATGGTTCCTGCTGGGACCTGGGGTCAAATGATACTGCTAGCACTGCCTAGTTCTACAAAAATACTTTCTTCAGCAGATCTCTTGGCAGAGAAGGACCATTAGTACCATTTTGCATCTAGGGAAGCTGAGGAACAAAAGGAAAAGTTACTTGTGCCGGGAGTGAAAAAAAAAGAAAAAAAAAAGAAAACCTAGCATTCTTTCCTAGCATTCTTTCCCACCCTCACCCCTCTATATAAGTGGGGGAGGAAATCAAAGCTGATAAATGATGTAGAACAGCTTTGACCTAGGTGGTTTTCAGAGAATGGATAAAAGCCTTTATCACCTTGACCTGCATCACTGTTGTATAGGAGAGCGTTACTCTAATGATCTTCACTTTCTGATGTGGATGTACAGCAGAGCTCTAATCTTGACACCTTTCAAGTCTGAGCATCATATAACCAGCGTGGAGTATGCTTAAGCCTAAGCAATAGGTAGCCCCCTGAGTTACTTTAGCTTTATGCTAGGACAGTTCATTTTGACTGAAGAGCTGCCTTATCTGAATGATCTACTTTTCTGCACCTCTTCGATCATCACTAAGTGGTGCACTGCCTCCTGTGTTGAGTTTCAGCTTCGAAAACACACCTCTCTGGGACTCCAGACCAAAAATAAAATAAAATAAAGTATTTTAAAAAGAGTTACTGAGGCTGAATGAGCTCTCAGGACACCCCTCAGCACCTGCAGTTGAATGTGTGTTCTCCCTGAGCAGGGTGGCCCTGTGAAAGCCCAGGAGAGAGGAAGGACGTGCCAGAACTGGGATGTGCCAGTGGAACCTCACCCGGGCACTGCTCACCAGGTTGTTCAAAATGCTTTTGATTCTGAATTATTGTATGTAGAAGTAGGTGAGAGCTGAATTTTATACACTGCTTCTAACCCAGTAAACGAGGGAATTAAATCGCAGTGATATAATATGGTAAGGGTCAGGTTTAGGACCCTTTGAGTAGCCAGAAGGCAAATTGTATCGATGCAGAGCTAGGCTTGAAAACCATTCAGCTGTGGAGGCACAGCTTCCCGTTCCTTCGAGTACCTCTCTCCCAACCAGTCTGGAGCGCAGAAACCAGCGGCTATCATGTGCTGCAGATGGATGGGCGATGGATCGCACACAGCTAGCTGAGTCTGGCATGGCTTGACTCCTCTTGTGTTTGCTGGCTACTTACCCAGCCAACAGCCAGACATTTGTGGGGTAAATCATTTCCAGTTGTTTCACAGAAGAAAACTGTCCAGCAGTATAAATAATAATTCTGCTCTGATAGGGTTTCAGTGCCTGCAGCGCTGGTGCTCTGCTGCATCCCATCAGCACCCTTCCCAGTTTCTCTTCTCCCAGGGGAGAATAGGAGGGCCCTGCTACAGGCATTTCATAGTCAGACAAAAGAACTGCCAGCCACTTCCTCCTAATATTCGTCTCTATCCTTGCACAGGGCACAAGTGGGCAATGTTACAAAAGGTAATAGAAAATTTTGGTCCAAAATAATGGAGGCAAAATTGCAAGTGACAAAGTTGTTTGCTTTATTTTCATTTCAGAAAACTCACAGGACTTGATGCAGCCTGGGGCTTTGTCAGGAGAGGATTCAGCCTGGGTGAAAATCACTAGATGTGGCCATGGCTTTTGCTGGCTGCTTTACGCTGAACTGGCTCAGGGAGATAGCTCAGTAGTGAGAAGCTTGCTTTTGCTTAAATTCTGCAGTTTAGTTGCTTTTTCTCCAGGCTGTCCAAGGTGATGCCCCTTGCTCACCACCCACCTGGAGTCACACAACTGCCACCTCCTGCCAGCCAGCACAGAGATTTCCCTGCTCCTTTCCACCTTCCTGCTGCTGGGGTAGGAGGGCAGTGGAGGGGAAGAGGCCATGCAGACGGTGACCCCATACTGCACTGAGCCCTGGGTGCCATCTCAGGCCCCTTGACATCTGGTGTGACTTTGAGAAGCCAAGGTAAGCAGAAAGACCCATGGGGACCCATTATGTAGCTTGGCGGTGTCACCGTTTTGCTCTGAGCCAAGGCATCTCGTCCTGCAGACCTTCTGGGCAGAGTGAGATTCAGGTGTTTGCTGAGGAGCAGCAGGCACTCAGGATGTGATGGGGGGCTTCCCTCAGGACTGGACAGAGGTGCTGGCTTCCCTCCTGGCCCACTTCATTGCTGGTGGTTGTCCTCCAGATAGACTAATAGCACTGCACGGTCCTGCTTATGCTGTCAGTCAAACCAGTGTCTCCCACAGGGGGAGTTTTGCCAAATATTTATGTCTTGCTCAGCACCACAATATGGGAACTGTTGTGTCAGTTTGGTCTGGAGGCTGTGTGAATCTACAGCCCGAGCATGCAGCAGCTCTTCTCAGGGCTGCAGTGACACCACACCAGAGAATAGGACAAGCTGATGGTGCCACCACTGATGGTACTCAATGACAGCAACGACACTGAGCTGTGCTGGGGTTGTGCTCCTTTCACAGCTGTGCTGCCCACCAAATGTCACTCAGATGAGGATGTCTTGTGCCCACAGATGAAAGAGACCACTTGGGCCAGGTGGGTGCTAAATGGTGGGGAGCTGGTGGTAGGGCGAGGGCAGGTTGGTTGTTGCATCTGTGCTTGAAGTGTGGGATGAAACACATGGGAGTCCAATGGACTGGAAAGTGCTGCAAGATGAAGGGCTGGAGCTCAGCTCCTTTTCAAGAGAGATGGGCTTGGAGCAGACGAGGAGTACCAGCACAAGCTGTCACAGGCTGCTCTCTGAGTAGTAGCATCTCTGTGTGAATTTCCCTACATCTGGTGCCTTCCTCCAGGACAAGTAACTTCCAAGCCTCAAGGCCAACCAGATTTTTCTGCAACTGTGTGCTAACTTCCCACAGCAGGGAGAGCTGGGGGAACTGCTGCCGGTACAGGTATTTTTCTGCAGGGCTGGAGACCCTTCTGGTCTGGTGAGGAACTGACAATCCCCGCAGGATGCTGAGCCTCACAGTCACACAGTGAGACTGCCCACAGCTCGGGGTGGTCAGCAGGACCCAGAAATGACTGCAGGCTGCAAACAAAAGCT